TCGGGTGAACGGGTCGGGTAAACGAGTCGGGTCGGGTCGGGTTATGACCGGTCAAACCGGTCAAAGATTCACTAAAACCGGTCAAACCGGTCATTTGGACTATCCCCACTCGCAGTGGCGGCGAGTGGGGGCGCGTGGGCACTGTTCCGGCAGTGTAAAATTCACAGAAAAATTTCTAAAAATTATTTTGAGCGATTTCGAGATACTTACAAAGCTCGGTTCACAATTTTGAACACCGGTGGACTCGGAACGGCACAAGGAACACGATGGTGCGGGAAGTGTCGTAAACGGATCGTCGGATCGTCGTGAATCGATGAAAAACCATCTAAAACCGAGTTATTACCGACGATACTTCCGACTGAAATTAACGACGAACGGAGATGATTCACAACGTAAGGTTTGAAGGGTTTTGTTCCTCGCTCGACAACGAACACGATGGTGGTTTCGGCTCGTCGATCGGAAGTCGGACGGCGAGTAGATCGGAGTTGAAAGAGGGGTTTATGAAAAGGAAAATCTGGAAATATTTTTTCCAGAAACATACGGGGATGGGGGTATATATTATCTCCTAAATAAAAATGGTTAAACCAAGAGTTTAGCCACTGAATTTCCTGTACTTTTTAAAATGGTATGCCAACTTTAAAACTTTACAATTTAATCCCCAATGTTTCTTTCAAAATATCAATTAAATCCGCCACTTTATAATTTCTTAATTTTAGCCCCTAAATTGGGGTGTTACAGATGAAGTATTGTCAAGCATCGAGGAGAAGAAGACAGCTAAGGAGATATGTGATCATCTCATCAAATTGTACGAGGCCACATCGTTGTACAATAAAATTTTCCTTAAGAGGAAATTGTACACTCTCCGTATGCCAGAATCTACTTCAGTGACGGAGCACTTAAATACACTGAACACCTTATTTTCTCAGCTTACATCCTTAAGCTATAAAATAGGAGAACAAGAACGTGTTGAACTTCTACTTCAAAGTCTACCGGATTCGTATGATCAACTCATCATCAACTTGACAAACAGTAATGTCACCAGTCTAGTCTTCGATGACGTTGCAGCTGCTGTTCTACAAGAAGAAAATCGGCGCAAGAACAAGGAAGACAGACAAGTAAATCTGCAACAAGCAGAAGCGTTGACAACGATGAGAGGGAGATCAACAGAACGTGGCCAAAGCAGCAATCATAAACATGGTAGATCGAAGTCGAGGAGCAAGAAGAATTTAAAGTGCTAAAGTGCTACCACTGTGGAAAGAAGGGTCACTTGAAGAAGGATTGTTGAAGTCTAAATAAAAACTCCAATCCACAAGGCAATACCGCAAACACTTCAGATGATGGAGATGCTCTATGCTGTGAAGCGTCAACTACCGTGGAAGGCAGAAAAAGATTTGCAGATATATGGCTCATTGATTCGGGAGCGACATATCACATGACCTCAAGAAGAGAATGGTTCCATCATTATGAACCTGTCTCAGGAGGATCTAGTATAGTTGCAATGATCATGCCTTAGAGATCGTTGGTGTGAGAACCATCAAATTGAAGATGTATGATGGAACAATTAAAGTTGTTCGAGATGTACGGCACGTGAAAGACCTGAAGAAAAATTTATTATCCTACGGATTGTTGGATAATAATGCAAGCAAGATTGAGACACTGAAAGGAATCATGAAGGTGTTCCGTGGAGCGCTTGTGGTGCTAAAAGGCGAAAAGATAGCAGCAAACTTGTACATGCTGAAGGGAGAGACTTTGCTAGAAGCAGAAGCCTCTGTTGCCTCATGTAGTTCAGATTCGGCAATGCTATGGCATCAGAAACTTGGACACATGTCAGAACAAGGAATGAAAGTCCTTGTGGAGCAAAAGCTACTTCCAGGCTTAACAAATGTATCACTTCCTTTGTGTGAGCATTGCATAACAAGTATGTAGCACCGGTTGAAATTCAACACATCAAATTCTAGAGGCAAAAGTGTTCTAGAATTGGTTCACTCTGACGTATGGCAAGCACCAGTAACGTCCCTAGGTGGAGCAATCATTTATTGATGACTACTCCAGGAGATGTTGGGTGCACCCTATTAAGAAGAAGTCAGGCGTGTTTTCAACTTTCAAAAACTTCAAAGCGCGGGTGGAACTTGATTCTGGAAATAAGATCAAGCTTTTCAGAACAAATAATGGAGGAGAATACACAAGCGAATAATTTGATGACTTTTGCAGGAAATAAGGCATCAAAAGACAGTTCACAGTGGCGAACACTCCTCAACAAAATGGAGTGCCAGAGCGGATGAACAGAACCTTGTTAGAAAGAAAAAGAGCAATGTTGAGGGACGCAGGCCTAGAAAAATCATTCTGGGCAGAAGCAGTCAATACCGCCTGTTATTTGGTGAATCGAGCTCCATCAACTGCAATAGAGTTGAAGACACCAATGGAGATGTGGACTGGTAAACCAGTTGATTATTCAAACCTCCATGTATTTGGAAGTATTGTGTACGTGATGTACAACGCCTAAGAAATTTCAAAGCTGGATCCAAAATCCAGGAAATGCAAATTCTTGGGGTATGCTGATGGAGTAAAGGGGTATCGCTTGTGGGATCCCACTACCCGCAAATTGATCATTAGCAGGGATGTTATCTTTGTAGAAGATAAACTACAAAGAAAAGAAGACGATGATAGCGCTGAAAAGTCAGAGACTACTCAGATACATGTGGAAAAAGAGTTTGAAGAAGGAGATTCTTCTGAAGCAGAACCAGTACATTATGAACAAGAACCAGAGAGTTATGAAGCTCCAACAACTCGTCAATCAGATCGTGTGAGAAGACGTCCCAATTGGCACTCGGATTATGTTATAGAAGGTAATATTGCATACTGCCTTTTAACAGAGGACGGTGAGCCATCAATATACCAGGAGGCAATAAACAGCTCAGATGCTTCACTGTGGATGATGGCGATGCAAGAAGAAATCGAAGCCCTTCATAAAAATAATACATGGGACCTTGTGCCACTACCACAAGGAAGAAAGCCAATTGGTAACAAATGGGTTTTCAAAATCAAGCGAAATGGTGATGATCAAGTGGAGAGGTATCGTGCAAGACTGGTGGTCAAAGGATATGCTCAAAAAGAAGATATTAAAATAACTTTTCTTCATGGAAATCTTGAAGAAGAGATTTATATGCTCCAGCCTGAAGGTTTTGAAGAAGACGAAAAGAAGAACTTGGTTTGCAGGTTGAACAAATCTCTGTACGGTCTAAAGCAGGCGCCGAGGTGTTGGTATAAGAGATTTGATTCCTTCATTATGTGCCTCGGATACAACAGACTTAATGCAGACCCTTGTGCTTATTTTAAGAGGTCTGGTGATAACGATTTTGTTATATTACTGTTGTATGTGGATGACATGTTAGTTGCAGGACCCAACAAATATCATATTGAAAAATTGAAGGCACAACTGGCTAAGGAATTTGAAATGAAGGACTTGGGATCAGCAAACAAGATTTTAGGGATGTAAATTCACCGAGACAGAAGTAATAGGAAGATTTGGCTTTCACAAAAGAATTACTTGAAGAAAATCTTGTCACGATTTAGCATGCAAGATTGTAAGCCAATTTCTACCCCTCTTCCTATTAACTTCAAATTATCCTCCAGTATGAGTCCTAGCAGTGAAGAAGAGAGGATGGAGATGTCTCGAGTACCGTATGCATCAGCAGTAAGAAGTTTAATGTTCGCTATGATATGCACAAGACCAGACATTGCATAAGCAGTGGGAGTGGTTAGTCGGTACATGGCGAATCCAGGCAAAGAGCATTGGAATATTGTAAAGAGGATCCTAAGATACATCAAAAGGACCTCAAATGTTGCATTATGTTACGGAGGATCAAACTTACTAATCAATGGGTATGTAGATTCTGACTATGCAGGGGATTTGGATAAAAGCAAATCTACTACAAGATATGTGTTCAAAGTTGCTGGTGGAGCTGTAAGCTGGGTTTCAAAATTGCAGTCAGTTGTGGCTACATCCACAACAGAAGTAGAATATGTAGCAGCTACATAAGCCAGTAAAGAAGCAATTTGGTTGAAGATTCTATTGGAGGAGCTTGGGCACAATCAAGAGTATGTCTCTCTATTTTGTGACAGTCAAAGCGCCTTGCATCTAGCAAGGAATCCAGCATTTCATTCAAGGACAAAGCACATACGAGTTCAGTACCATTTCATTCGTGAAAAGGTGAAATAAGGGACAATAGATATGCAGAAGATCCATACCAAAGACAACATAGCAGATTTCATGACAAAGGCGATCAATGCTGATAAATTTTCTTGGTGTCGATCCTCTTGTGGCCTGTCAGAGACGTAAGCAACATGAAGGTACAAGGTAGAAGGAATGGTGTGAAGATATGATTGTTACAATCAATTCTTCAAGTGGGAGATTGTTGAAAGTGAACAAATCCACCGAATGTTGAAAACAAAATCAACAAGTTGGCAAAACATTTCGGTGCCAACCAACATGATATTGTTGAGAAAAAAAATTAGGCACCGAATAGTGCAGCTTTTGTTGAATTTTGGTGATGATAAAATTACACTTTTAGTTATTATAATTTAGGGTATTTATAAATTAGTCCTTAAGATTCAACTATAAATACCCTAGCTCATTTAGCTTCAAAATCATCCCGAAGAATTCTAGCTTTCTTCCAATACTAGAGAGAATTTATAGAGTTTCTTGAGAGTTATTTTCTCCTTTTTATCAAGAGAGAATTATCATTGTTTTCTCCTTGGTAAATCGAGAGAGGTTGTAATACCTATTTTCTCATAATGAAATTCTTCTATCGTTACCGTGGTTTTTTACCCTAATAATTTTAGGGGTTTTTCACGTAAATTTTGTGTCTTTTTTATCTTCATTTTTATTTTTTCAAATTATCAGTTGCGATTTTGCTCTATCCGATAGTCGTCTTCCGCAACACTTATGGGGAAAGGAAGTCTTGATTAAGAGTGTTTTTCAGGCAATTTCCATTTATGCGATGCAGTGCTTCCTCCTCTCTATTACTTTGTGCCGTGCAATGGAACAAGGAATGGCAAAATTTCGGTGGCGAAGCAATAAGACTAGGAATGGGATTCATTGGAGTACATGGAGTTATCTTACTCGTGCCAAATCGGGCGGGGGGCTCAGCTTTCGTGATCTTTGTCAGTTTAATGTTACTCTTCTTACAAAGCAGTACGGGCGTCTTATCCCTCATCTGGAGTGTCTTCCTGCTAAGGTTCTTCGGGCGAGATATTACCCTAGAGGCAATTTTCTCACTGCCAATTTGGGATCGAGTCCCTCTTATATTTGGCAGAGTATATGGAGTGCTAGAGGTTTAATTGAGAAAGGCCATGGCTGGCGTATTGATTCGGGCGAATAAGTGAATATTTGGAATGATCCTTGGTTACCAGGTCTTGGCAATGGTAGGGTCAAACCTCGGAGTATTGACATCAGATTTATCAAGGTGTCTGATCTTATTTATGCTTCCAGTGTGACATGTAGATACAATGTTTTGAAGGATATTTTTTATGAAGAGCAGGTGTCTAAGATCTGCTCCATTCCTTTGTCAAAAGTTGGTATGGCCGATGCTTTAGTTTGGCGTCCTGATGGTTCTGGGAAGTACTCAGTCAAAAGCTGTTACAGATTACTTAGGGGCAAGTAGGATACTGGTCATGGCGGGTCTTTGACTGCTCAGTCTGTGGATGTTTCTAAATTTTATGCTGAGTTGTGGGCTGTTGTTCTTCCTCCAAAGTTAAAATAATCATGTGGAGAATCGCTCATAATATTTTCCCAACCTTTGACAACTTGCAGCAACGGAAGCTTAGTGTTGATAACGTTTGCTGCTTTTGCCAGTCATCAACTGAGACTGTCGATCATGTTATGCGAGACTGTTGGTTCGTGAGGCAACTTCTTCATGCTCTAGGCGTGCATCTTCCCTCCAGTCTTGTGCACATCCAATGGCAGAATTGGCTAGCCTTGTTCTTCATTTCTCTCCCTACGAGACTTAAGGCTGTGCTGATGGTGTCTCTCTGGGCTACCTGGTCTGCTCGTAATAAGGTGGTTCATGAAGGATTAGTGCCTTCAGTACATAACACTCGATCCTTTACTGAAGCTTATCTCAGGGAAATCGATTCGCTTGCTGGTCCAATTATTTATGAGGTTGCGAGGAGGCAAGCTGAGTGGCAGGTTCCAAATGAAGGTATGGTTAAGTTTAATTTTGACTCAGCTTTTTATGCAGTCTATGGAGGCTGTTTCAGGAGTGATTGGTCGCCATACATCGGCTGTCTAATGGCATCTTGTACTGTTCCTTATTTGTCTGTGAAAGATGCTTTTGCAGGCAGTCACTTTTGCTAGGGAGCTTGGCTTTAGAAGAGTTAGTTTTGAAGGCGATTCCCTTACTGTTATTAAGAAGCTGCTTATCCGCTGGTGGATGGTTCGTTGATTGCTCCAATCATCCATGATATTAAAGAGCACTCTAAAGTGTTAACTCGTTGTCTTCTGTTTTGCTGGTCGAGAGGCTACCCAACCTGGAAAGTCAGGAATTTTCATTATAAATACATGATATTTTTTAACCGGTTTGGTGGGTCTGATCAACTGCGTCGGTGGGTCAGATCAACCGAATCGAGTAAGTGGAATATTTGACGAAGTGTCGGAATGATTTCTTGAATTTAAAGCAGAACAATATGTCTGTGAATTACTATGAGATTGAGTTTCTGAGGCACATCAAGTATGCTTCGGAGTTGGTTTCGGAGGAGGAAGAGAAGTGTGATTGATTTTTGATAGGTCTTTGACCCTCAATTCAGTCAGGTGTTTTACATCATGATACAATGTTTAGTAGGTTTACTGTATGAGCTAGGACTGTTGAGAGGATTAAATCATTGTCATCATGTCCTAAATCTCAAAATTTTGATAGAGTCCAAAGGCAACTAGGACCACTTACTAAGACTGGTTATGTGAATTAATTTGTTAAGAGATCGAAACAAAATTTAGATTCTCATGAATTTTCTAGAGTGAGACTGATGACTCTTATTGTTCTAACTGTCAGTGTTGAAGGTAGGACTAGTACTCATGGTGTACCATAGTGTTCATACTATAAGAAGGGCATACAAGAGAATGTTGGAGAAAGACTAGAGGTTGTTTTCCGTTGTGAGTAATTGGAACACTATTTCAGTGAGTGTTCGCTTCTAACTGATGCTCCTTATATTTCTAATCAAACTTCAGTATCGGTTAAGATACCGATCGGAGGTAAAGAACAAGATAAACCTATTGATTTTGGTTTAGCTAGTGGGGGTAAACCAATTTAGAGTAGAAATTCAACTAGGTCAACAGTGAGGCAACAAGAGTTGATGTATTCTACTCGGAGGCACGAGGAATGAGATGAGTTACACGTTTTTTCTTAGTTCATTCTATTTCAATTCCGATTTTCAATTCCGATAAATTTGGAAGTCAAAATTTTCTTTAAGGAAAGAGAATTATAACACCCCCAAATTAGCTTCAAATTAAAATCCCTAAATATTGAGGTGTGACAATCAACATTTTTTTAACAATAAAGAAAATAACACGAACCAAGTGGTCTCCGTGGTAAATGAATTATTGTTATTCCTTGAGTACCCGAGTTCGAGTACCATAGGTGTCAGAGGTGTAAGTATTCAATGTCAAAAGGTTAAAAGTTTATCTTTAAACATATACTATTTTGTATTTACTCATATTAATAAAAAAACAATAAAGAAAGTAAGACTCATTTAGTTTTTTTAATATGTATTTTTTATTTTAAAAATTATTTTTTGTTTTATTTTTAAAAATATAATTAATTTTTTTATAATTACATCATATGTTTGATAAATAAAAATAAAAGTTTGTTTTTAATAATAAAATAATATCTTTGTACCCATTTTTATAATAAAAATATAAAAAATGAAAGTTATTATTTTTTAAGGATTTAAACGAAAGGGAAAGAATTGTTATTTAAAAAATATTGATTTCTTTCTGCGTTATGTAGATTTGAACTATGCTTAAATTGTTAAATTAAAAAAACACTAGTTTTCAACTTATTTCAATTTTTAAAATATTTTTGAGAGAAAACAATAATTCATTTCCAATTTTTAAAAGATCGTTTTTATAAACTTCAATCAAACAGCGCTTTTTTTTTCCTCTCTTTTTTTGTAAAACGAAAATCACATGTGTTTTTTAAACCAAACATATCCTATTTTTTTAAAAAAAAATCTTGTCAAACTAAATTAGCGCTCAATTAATTGATAACATCAATTAAGTCAAGAGTTTAAGTATGTATGCTGACCAAGTAAGAAGAGACGTCAAAGGAGATGTGTAGTGTGTTTCACCGAAACAAAAACCGAATTAGAGTAAAAATTACAAGACAAATGTCGAATACGAACCAACTGCCTACTTTACTTCATCCTCCATCCTTTGAGATTTTAATTAGCATTTGAGAAAGATACTATGGGGAATGACCTAATGGCTTCCCAGTTTTGACCTAATGGATTCGTCCCTATTCTTAATTATATCGATAAATTGCTGGTGAGATTGATGTTATGGACACAAATACCACCGAATTTGTACAACGTGGAAAGTATATCGGCTGCTTTCATAACCATCGCTTGGGATCGACACGAGAGGAATATAAAATGAGTCATATCATAGACGCACATGTGCATCTTTATATAATTCAGATCCTAATATTTTCCTTGTTGAAAATGATAAATTATTGGATTTAAATTTAAACCAAACAAAAATAAATCAGAGTTGTATCGGTCCATTCTTATTTATATCCAAAATTTTATTAAATTTAAATATGATTTAATTTTATTCGATTCCATAGCATTATGAATTTTGACATCATAATAGCAATGCTATGCTACTAGTCCACCATTACTATTTTTTCTAAGATATCATGGATTAATTGTTTACGGATTACGGATACCAGTTTTATGATTTCAAACTTTAAATGTGAAATTACTGATTAATGAATTAACTATTAATCTTCGAGGGGTAAATGATAAAAAGAAAAGGAGATCAATATTTTAGGGTCCCACCTGTAAATTCGGTTCTTCTCTTTTGTGACAAAAAGGGACAAAGTTAAGATCGTGATGTTTCGAAAGTAAGCTCTCAAGCCACTTCGTAGAGTAATATTCTTCATTTATATTAAAAAATAGGATTAAAGATGTATGAACTATGAAGTTTTTAAATCTAAAAAATAATAATTTTTTAGAAAGAAAGGTAAACTAGTCGTAGCAGATAGCATCAAAATCTGCTTGCTGACCATTCTCAGCAGGCAAAGTAAGAAAGAAGAAACAGACAGCAACGGCATCAAATTTCTCTTGTAAGAATCTGTCACTGTTTTCTTTATGAAATCTAAGAGATTCTATATATTAAGGCTGCCGCACGTGAAACTTTCCCGGAATATGTGAATCATTGAACAAGTTTTTGTATGAAGCCGTCATAAGAACAGGTTCTACGAAAAAGGAACGGTGGTTGGAGAAAGTGATGCGCTGTTGGTTTTACTTTGAATTTTGCATGATATATTAAGAATGATTTCCATTTCTGTAAAGAACAGCTTCAGTCGGCCGAGGATTCAAAAATGAAAAGAACAACTTCTTTTGTTCGGGGCTGTGGTTAAATGTTCATTGAAATGACTTTACAAAAACCCTTATTGCACGTTGATAACATGCGAATTCTGAACCTTGTATACAGACCTGGGTGGAAAAAGGAAGAGTTAATCTTATATATTACACCATTCGATTCCTATCGTAAGACGTTTAACTTTTGAAATGGTAATGTGCAGCATCAGTTGCTTTTCTTTCTACCATATAAACATATCATGGTTAGACATTAATTTCATCGTTTCTTGTGCATTTAGCTTTCAGCTTTTGATCTTCAAATTGTTTGGAACCACTCCGCAATATGTCGAACCAACCGGCACCAACTCGACCCTGGTTTCGATTAGCATCCATTTCAAGGCCAGCACCAACCTCAACTCCTGAACCAGCTCCACCTCTGCCACGATCAGACACTATACGACCTGCATTCAGGCCACCAACTCAAGCTCAACCAAATGCCGCTGCTCCACCACCACCTGCAGGTAGTGTTTCTTCGGTTCCACCATCACCTACAGATAAAAAACCTACGGTTCCGGTCAATGCAGGTACTTCTTCGGTCCCCGATTCCCCATGAAGACCGTGCCAACTTCTACTCCTGCGAAAACAGCAGCAACTTCGTCCTTGCCATCTTCTCCAGCAGCGAAGCCAGTGGTTACTAATACCAGGGAGAAAGTTTCACCTGCCAAGAGAGCTCCAACTGCAACATCAGTGGCAAGTTTCCCTACCCAAAAGCCTGCCTCCTCTGTGACCACCACGACCCGTATGCCAAGCCCTAAATCATCGATGACCAAACCGCCAACTGGTAGGCCACCTTCTCCTTTTACTCTCCCACCTTTCCAGTTGAAAGCTCAAGCTGAGATTGATCCCAAGAAGAGTCATGCTGAGGCAGAGCAAAACACGACCGACAAGCCCAAGGGATGGCTATTTGGTGGCACTCGCAAAGCAGCATCTAAGGGATGTGAGTATTCTTCTGATTCCGAGGATGCAGGAATGAGGATCATAACAATTACTGGTGATAATAAAGGCGCTTTCATGGAGATAAACCAATCATCCCACCATAAAAATGGGTTTCAGGGAACTTCGTTTCGTCTCGAAAACAGCAACAGCAACGAGGCAGGTGATCGGAAGATGAAGGCCAAGAGCAACACATCCAAGACAATAACTATGAACGCATTCATTAACAGCAATGTGCAAGGCATTAATAACTCAATTGTGTACAATTCTTCATGCGTTTGTCATGACCCTGGTGTCCACCTTACTCTCTACACAAAACCAACTGTTGGAGGATTCCATGTCGAGTAAAGCAGCAATGGATACAACAGCTACAGAGGAAGTAAAACATTAAATTTAAAGGTTTTTAAGTCTTTTTGGTTTGAATAAATTTAGGCTATTCTACTTTCAAGTTGTAACAACCCGGATATTTTCAAAATAATATTTAATTGAAATTTGAGGTTTTAATTATGAAAATCGGTAAATTGTGGGGACTAAATTGAAAGATTTTAAAACTTGGATATTGTTTTAGAGTTAAAGAAAATTCAGGAACCAAGCCCTGAATTTACCCAAGAAAATTAGGCATGTTATGTTATAAACGTGGTTTTCTGTTTCAAAACAGAAAACCACACCTCAATTGCTCCTAAATTCTCTTCCCCCTATGTTGGTTTCCGACTTAGATCCCGATGCCGTCCGAATTCTGATCGTCGTTTTGAAATCACCATCGTGTTCGTTATCGAGTCAGGAACAATCCCCTTAAATTAATTGAAGCGAAACGCTGCCAAACGTCAGGAATTTCAAGTCAAAGCATCGACTTTTTTTTAGCTCTATCGCCGGGAAAATCTCAAATTCACCGCCGATCGTTGCTCCGTTTACGACACCTTCTGCACCATCGTGTTCCTTGTGCCGTTTCGAGTCCGTCGGTGTCATCCTCGGTCTCAGTCGACGGAGGCGCGTGAGGAGGTGGAGCAGTCAAAGATTCGGCCGAGTTAAAATCGAGCTCTCCGCCGTTCAAAAATTTGAACCGATCTTTGTAAGTATCTCGAAATCGCTCAAAATAATTTTTAGAAATTTTTCCAGGATTTTTAGAGCCCCAGAGGAGGTCTCACGCGCCACACGCGCCGCCGCAGGGAGAGTGAGTAGCTGGAAAACCAGTTTGACCGGCCTGACCCGACCCGACCGTTGACCCGACCCGACCCGACCGTTGACTTTATTGGACCAGAACCTTAAATGGCTTTGACCGACCCTTAAACGACCGTAAATATTTTTCGAGTATATCTATTCTGATAGTTTTCGACGTCCCGAATCTGTTTCCGAAGTCCGTTTCACCAAATTCGAACCCGAAGGCCTCCAAATCAACGATCAAAGTGGTTGACTTTGACTTTGACCAAGAATTTAAATTTTCGAAAAGGCATACTTTATGTTTTTCGACGTCCTGATTCCGATTCCGCAATCTGTTTGGCCAAATTCAAACTCGAAATCCTCCAAATTGATAGTCAAACCCTAAAAATGCTTATATACTTAAGAATTTAGCTTTGAACAATTAAGTAAGATTTGAGGCTGATAAATTATTATTGTTTGAAGGTACAAGAGACTCTCCGGATCGTTCGACAACTCGACCCAGCTCTTTTAGATCAATTAAACCACGTGTGCCAGTATTCACCCGTAAGACCCGTAAATTTTATGATTTTAGAGATTTATTTATGTTACCCATATGTAATATAGTGTTATTATAAAATAGGTTCGAAAACTGTAGCAGAGCGTGGTGAAACCAGCAATCAGTAGATCTACTATTTAAACATATTATCGAGGTGTGTTCCCTAATTATTACTGAACTGTTTTATTGGTTTTAATATGAGGTACACTGAGTTCTTTGGTTACTGTTTTATTGATGCACCAATTTAATGTGATGATTTATGGAATTTTTGTCACGGTGCAATTGAACTTTTGGATTGAATTACAATAGTATAGCTTTGATCAAGCTAATAAACAGAATGGGTCTAATGTGACTCTTGGGGCCCCAAGATACATTAGGTTGGCTTCCCTTGCTGTGTGCTTAGGGTAAGCTATATGGACTTGGACTTACGAGCTTAAGGATACAAGCTCTAAAGCTTATCCTTAGGTTGGCTTTCTTTTTGTTGTGTGCTTAGAGTAAGCTATATGGAAAATAGTTTTGGAAATTACTGATGGTGTACAAGAAAAGAGTTTAAACTATGATTTTCAAAAGTTAAACTCTTTTATGAATTTATGAGATTTACTGGACTATTATTTGTTTAATGTACCTATTGTGATTTTAAGGTAATATTGGGACACACTGAGCCTATCTTACCTTTAAAAAAAATATTTTTCCCCCTTTCAGATACTGTTGGTTAGATACATCGGTTCGAGCACTTGGAGGATCAACATATCTCTTGAAGTATATATGATTGTAATGTTTTATCTTGCTAGTTGACTTTATTTTGGTGATATGGACATTATTTTAAAGTATCGTATTTTAGGATGATACTTTTGCTATTACTGTTCGGTTTATTATGATTTTGAAGACCTGTTTTAAATTAATATATTACTTATTGGTATTATATTTACAAGTTGGGTTTTGATGGTATAATTTATTTCATGACATTTATAATGTGATTTTACATTGATTGAATAATGGTTTCAGAAAATATCTTTAAAAATCATAATGTGATCCACTAGACTTAGTCGAAACGCATAGGTCGAGTATAGGGGGTTACGCAAGTTGTTTGAGTGATGCCTAAAGGGCATATAGGTTCGGATTCTTCAATATCACTTTTTCGTGGCGTCTATTGTAGAGAATCCAAGCCCAACCCTTTAGAGTTAAGAATTATGAGCTAAACTTAGAGTGTAATAAAAATGTTGGATAAAACCCTTGTGTTTGCATTTCACCGACTGGCTATTATAACACCAATTTTATTTTTAATTTTGCCTTGCATATTCTAGTGGTTCCTTTATAACACTCCTAAAATTATATTTAGACTAGGCTGAGGGAATCAATATAAAATTATAAAAAAATAACATTTCTACGAGAACGTTACATTATCTAAGAAATATTTGGCAATGATATTAGATTATCGTACTTGAAGGACGAAAAACAGTGTTTAGTGCCTACGTATATGTATATACATCATTCTTCTTTTTCACTAATAATTACTTTTAAAAAGATGATAGGAATGAATCATATGTGCGTGTATATGTGGTTTCTCACAGTTGGAGAAGCTAAGTGAAATGTTATCCCATAATAGTGATCATTTACGTAGTTTACCAACACCATTCATCACTAGTATTTTATTAGTATTTCAGTTACCAAAATAATAATGAGAAGATAGTTGAATGATGAATAGTGTAGTTGACCCTAAAAAAGCCTAATTTTCCCCGTCGTTCATTACAAGTCTCAGCTCCATCAGCGCCTAATTCGAAGCTGATCCGAGGACCTCATTTCTCTAAACCATGATGCGTCATACTGAACTGCATTGCCAAATGGTGATCGGACTCCTCGATCGAAGCACCGCCTTCCGATCTTTCACCAGCGTTGACCTTTCCACCGTAGATCCTTCCTCCCCACTCCTCCAGTACTACACCGTCACGCCCCCTATTAAACCCTGGCCCCAAAATCTCCATCCCAAACACCTCGTCTCCATGATCAACCGCCAACAAAACCTCGATCTTGCCCTCCAAATATTTCTCTACGCCTGCAAATTCCACCCCAACTTTTTCCATAATTACAACACCTACCAATCCATCATCCAAAAGCTCTCCGCGCCCGCGCCTTCGAACCCATGGAATCCCTCATCTCTCAGCTCCAAAATTCCCAAATTAAATGCGGCGAAGAACTTTTTATCACGGTGATCCGGAATTACGGCCTCGCTTCCCTCCCAAAGTTGGCAGTGAAAACCTTTTTGCGTATCGAAAATTTCAATGTCCAGCGATCAGTTCTATCCTTGAACACGTTGTTAAACGTCTTGGTTCAAAACAAACGGTACGATTTGGTTCAGTTTATGTTCAAAAACAGCAAAACGAAATTCAACGTTATACCGAATATTTTTACTGCCAATATTTTGATAAAAGCACTTTGTCAGAAAAACGACGTCGAAGCCGCATGTAAAGTGCTCGATGAAATGCCTGTGATGGGGATGGTGCCGAATTTGGTTACTTACACGACAATTCTCGGCGGATATTTGGCGAGGAGAGATATGCTAAACGGGAAGAGGGTTTTCAGGGAGTTACTGGATAGAGGGTGGATTCCTGATGCAACGACATATACTGTTTTAATGGATGGGTATTGCAAATTAGGGAAGTTCAATGAAGCTGTTAAAGTGATGGATGAAATGGAGGAAAATGGTGTTGACCCAAATGAGATTACTTATGGAGTTATGATTGAGGCCTTCTATAAGGAGAAGAAATCCGGAGAAGCACTTAACTTGTTTAACGATATGCTTCAGAAGAAGTATATCCCGAGCTCTTCACTTTCTTGTAAAGTAATTGATCTGTTGTGTGAAGAAGGCAAAGTGGAGGAAGGTTGTTACTTGTGGAAGAAGATGTTGAAGAATGATTGTTTGCCGGATAATGCAATATTGAGTACGTTGATTCATTGGCTCTGTAAAGAGGGGAAGGTTTGGGAGGCTAGGAAAATATTTGACGAGTTCGAGAAAGGTTCAGTTCCGAGTTTATTGACCTATAATACTTTGATTAATGGTATGTGTGAGAAGGGATAATTGAGTGAGGCGGGGAAGCTGTGGGATGATATGGTGGAAAAAGGGTGTAACCCAAATGTGTTCACTTACAATATATTGATTACAGGGTTTTGTAAGATCGGAAATACGATGGAGGGAATTCGAATTCTGGAGGAAATGCTGGATAAAGGCTGCTTGCCGAATAAGGCAACTTACAATATATTGATTGAGGGGCTTCATGGTTTGGGAAAGGAGGGTGAAGCTGGGAAGGTTTTTTCGATTGCTATGTCAAGTCGGAGAGTTGATCAGAGTTCTTGGGATCTATTTTTAACCAAGATTGTTGGCAAACTGGATGATGGGGTTGATTTTCTTGATCAGTTGTTGTTGGAAAGTGGTAACTAAGTGACCAGCCAATATCTTTCCTATGTACAATTGCAATGTTTTTTGTCATGAATTGGTTGTAGCTCTCTCTATGAAGCAGGTCGTCATGCGGAAAGTTGAACATGAGGGAAACAAGCTGCCGGAGGTTCCCTTAGCCAATTCATGAGACCTTCTCCTAGAAAGTAGCTAGAGTCTTTTGTAGGATTGTAGGCTGAGTTGTTAGAGACCAAGATGTCTCAAGTAGAGATACAAAATTTGGAAGCTTTCAGCTATGGTGTTTTACTCTCATGGCAGTTGAATTATTTTGTCCTCCTTTGGAGAGGTCCGTCCTTGGTGAAGTTAACTACAAAGAATCTTGCCCGGGTCACTAGGTGGTCTTGTGCACCACCTGCACTTTATTTAGTCCTTAACTTCTACACTTTATTTCAATTTAATCTTAATTTTTAAAAATTAATCCAAACATTCTCATATTCTACCAAATTAACTCCCTTCATCCTCCTCCATCAAGGAGTATACACTCACAAATAAAAGGTTAAACCAACCAGAAAAAAGTCATTCTAAATATTTTCGTAAATGAAAATTGGAAGTTGAAAGAGAGAATTAAAGATAAAATATAAAACTAGTATACAAGTTTTGAAAAAATAATTATTACGACCAGGGACAGAGTCAAAATTAAATATTGACAGGGGTTGAAATATTATACCATTTAAGAAAAATATAAAGACTTATTAAATATTTAAATTCGAAATTCAACATGAACAAACAACCTTAGTGATTAAGGGGATTGTTGTTATTCTTGAGGTCCCGAGTTCAAGCATTACGTATGTAGGGGTATGAATGTTCATTATTAAATAGTTGAAAGTCTTTGTACATATATTGCCTTGTATTTAACTTAAGTTTATAATAAAGCTCAAAATTTACAAGTCAACTTCTAATTTGTCTAATATTTAAACTTACTATGACATAAATTGTAATTAGACTAAAAATTTGAGAGCATGTACTTATCATTCTTTAATTCAACTACTACTTGATTAAATATTTAATATTTTTTATATTTTTTAAATTTAAATAATTATTTTTACATGAACTAAAATATTATTAAACTAAAATTATATCGAATATACAAATTTTAACAGGAGTCGAGACTCATTGGGCCCTAAGGGAGCTCCATCCCTGATTATGACCAAACTAATTTGAGGTCCAAAAATATGTCAATTTTATCAATTGTTTTAATATATTTTAAAAATCCATTTATTACTATTTTTAAAATCCAATGATCTTTTTATTAGTTTTCGTAGTTAAAAAAAAACTTAATAATCAAGATTTATTTGCATATTTTTCCTTAAGTGAATTTTTTTAATTCTTCAAATACATAACACAATTAAAATGTCATATATAGAATCAAATCAAAATTTATACATTAAATTTGATGTTTATCGCTATCTATTAATATAATATACACATTTCCCTGGCTGCATCTGCCCTGGAACTTGTCTGCCAAATGGCAATTAATCAACTTAAAATAATATTGAAGCCAAATCCGGAAACCGTGAAACATGATACAATCGTTGAGGACAAGGAGGACGTCCATGTTTGGGGTATCAAGAACAACATGCTTCATGAGTTTGATAGTCCACCGTCCCAAGACTTTATAATTTCTGCAAATGGGAATGCATCCCCGTTCCCCAAAGGCTGCTCAGATATACCTACATGGTGACCACCAATTTGAAGGGTTTTACGAGTTGAATGCTTCTTAATATTTTCCAGGAAAAGCAAGTCAAATAAATAGCGAGGCTTTGGGCAGAAAGGAACAAGGTTCAAAGGCTTTTTATTTTTATTAGCCCATACAGAAAGAAAAATATTTTCTTCACTGATTGTTCTGTAAACAGTAGAAAGAAAGAAAAAAGTAAAGTAATAAAAACCAAAAACTGAAAAACAAAGTTTCTTTTTCTATATATATATATATATTAGGTGGGGGAACTCTCATGTCAAGTGGCTGAAATCTCCTCACAGAGTCCAAGTGACCCGATCGCCACTTTTCTTTGGAAGAGCTCTCTTTTCAAGCCCTTCATAGCTGTGGGCTTGTGGATTTTTAAGGTTCTTTAGCATTAATCCATTTTCAGGTTTGCATCTTTCTCCCTATTGTTCAAAGCTTAGGCTTTTTATTGTATTAAGCTTTTTCTAGCCGGTTGACTATGTGGGTCTTCGCTTGTGCTTCAAGTAAATTTAGGGTGTTTTCCTTGCTCTTCCAAGGTTTTCAATTTGAGGAAATGAGATTTCATAGTTGATTTTTGATTTTTTTTCATGATATTGTCGTTTGAGTTTGGGCTTGATTGGTGCTTATACAATCTCTTTTTCTTCCTTTTTCTGTTTCAAGCCTATGGAAATCAATTTCTTTTTGCTTTATACTCGATTTCCTCTGAGATTGCTCTGCTAAATTTTGTTTGGTTTCCTGGAAATCAAAGGAGAAGCTTCGATTCTATTTAATACACTTTCAAGGTCAAGTTCTTTAGAAAACAAATTTAGGTTGAACTATTGTAATTTTTGGGACATTGAGGACGACTACCCTTATTTTGGTCTAGGATAGGAAAAGCTTGGTCTTTTCTCCTTAAAAAATCATTTTATTCGATATCTTCACTTATACTTTCATGGCAACCAAACATTAAGTTTAACTATTTTTCTAGTTTTCCATGATTGGATGCTCATCCCAACAATAACAAGACAATATTCCAACTAACTTCAGTTATATTACTCTATCGTTTCCTTTTAATCCAGTAAAGTGGTCGAAATTTTCCAGCTAATAGCAAGGAAAGGGTTATTCAAATTTTGATTGTAATGCAGGTGCTAATGTTTAATAAAACTGGAAACATTGTTTTGGATGAAAAGGCTGCAATCGCTGTCCCACGGCCATGCTTTTGCCACTCTTAGTTGGTGTAATAGTCTATAGGAAGATAGAGCTATGCTTTCTGGAATTTGTTGTGTTTGTCATGTGATGTGATGTGATGGCAATCGACGTAGTCTCTAGTGCCTCAATTCCGGGTTCAGAGGTTCTTTCTCAGACTGTAGAGGCCATTCTCGAGACTGTGGTTTCTGCAAATGACATTCTCTTCAAGAAAGACACTTTCAAGAAACTTGCATCATACTTGGAGAGAATTGTCCCAGTTCTGAAAGAGTTGAAAGAGAAATATATTTATAATTCTGAGAGCTTGAACAATGCTATTCAGATTCTCAATCGTGAAACAAAGGCTGCGAAGCAAATAACTCTAGAATGCAACACCAAAAGCAAAGTATATCTCTTAGTGAATAGTCGCGGGATAGTCAGACGCCTAGAAGGTATCATGGGAGAGATAAGCAGGGCACTAAGTCTCCTTCCATTGGCATCTTTAGAACTTTCTTCGGCTATAGTTGTAGAAATCGGAAATCTTTGCGATAGTATGCAGAAGGCTGAGTTCAAGGCAGCTGTAGCAGAAGAAGAGGTCTTGGAAAAAATTGAGACGGGCATACAGGAGAGGAAAGCTGATCGTTCTTACGCAAACAATCTGCTGGCTCTCATTGCCGAAGCTGTTGGAATAACAACTGAGAGATCGGCTTTGAAAAAGGAATTTGAAGATTTCAAAAGTGAGATCGAAAATGTCAGGCTTAGGAAGGACAAGGCTGAAGCTATACAAATGGATCAGATAATAGCTTTGCTGGAAAGGGCAGATGCTGCATCTTCTCCTAAAGAGAAAGAGATGAAGTATTTCACAAAGCGGAAATCTCTGGGTAGTCAGCCACTGGAGCCTCTCCGATCATTTTATTGTCCGATCACTTGCGACGTAATGGTAGATCCTGTGGAGACTTCTTCTGGACAGACATTTGAGAGAAGTGCCATAGAAAAGTGGTTTACTGATGGGAACAACTTATGCCCTCTGACAATGACTCCCTTAGACACGTCAATCCTACGCCCTAACAAAACTCTGAGGCAGTCGATAGAGGAGTGGAAGGATAGAAACACAATGATAACAATTGCTTCAATGAAACAGAATCTCACATCTGGAGATGAGGAAGATGTGCTTCATTGTTTAGGACAGTTAAAGGATCTTTGTGAACAGAAAGACATGCACCGAGAGTGGGTTATGTTGGAGAACTATATACCACTTCTTATTCAACTTCTTGGTGGAAAAAATCGGGACATAAGGAACCGTGTGCTTGTCATACTTCACATTTTGACCAAAGATAGTGATGATGCAAAGGTACGCAATGTGAAACTGTTACATTCATCTTGGCATCCCATATTGAAAAATCTAATTTGCATATCATTGGGATTTAGTACACTTGCTGGTTTACCGACTTCTTCGATCAAAAGACGATTATTTGCATGTAACTTGCATAAATATGGATTCTTACTAACCTGAAATGCATATATGTCTCTCATAAGTTTTTGTCCAAAATATTGAAATATGTCGCAGGATAGAGTGGCAAAAGTTGATGGTGCAATTGAATTTGTAGTCCGTTCCTTGGGGCGCCGCATGGATGAAAGGAGGTTAGCAGTGGCATTACTTTTGGTGCTATCAAAATATGATGTCTTACGAGACAGCATTGGGAAGGCTCAGGGTTGCATTCTCCTTTTGGTGACAATGGCAAGTGGTGATGACAATCAAGCTGCCAGAGATGCAGAGGAAATATTGGAGAATCTTTCATTTTCTGATCAGAACGTCATACTGATGGCAAGGGCAAACTATTTTAAACACTTGCTGCAGCGTTTGTCTACTGGTTCATACCCTAAACTCGATGACCTTTTAAAGTACTCGTTTGGGTGTTCATATTTCCTCACCTGTTCTAACTTGAGCACTACACAAATTCTTCACTACGATTGTGTTGTAGGAAGCATACTTTTGAAGAATTAATAACACAACAGTTTAATAGAAAATTTTGACCCGAGAAGTATCAACAAATGTAGGCTATCTTGTAGTTAATACATCAAACATTTGCTTAATCTCAATATTGGTGCATGATTGCCTAGAAGATAATGTGTAGCCAAAAGATGAGGAGGTCTGAATTTCCTTGTTTGTACAGTTTCCTAGTGATCAGGTTTTATTTTACATGGCTTGGTTTAGGTGCATATATTTTTTTCTTGTTTCCTTCAATATTTGGCTTTTGCTACATTTGAATTCATCAGATTGCAATGTCTCGGTGGTTTTTGCCATTATTTGACAAAACACTTACGGAAGTATTTCTAAATCTCTACAGGACCAGAAGATGTAAAACTAATCATGGCAACAGCTGTGGCTGAAATGGAGTTGACTGACCATAATAAAGTGGTACTGCTAGAAAGAGGTGCACTGCGTCCACTTCTTCACTCCCTCTCTCATGGTGGCATTCAAATGAAAACCGTAGCTGTTAAAGCTCTTCGCAACCTCTCAAGTATACCAAAAAATGGTTTGCAGATGATCAAAGAAGGTGCATCCCGCCCATTACTTGATCTCCTTCATATCGGCTCATCATCCCCAACCTTACGTGAACAGGTTGCTGCAACGGTTATGCACCTTGCTGTATCCACTATGTCACAAGAATCCAATGAGACTCCAGTTTCATTATTGGAATCCGATGAGGAGATTTCCAGGCTCTTCACTTTGATTAACCTGACGGGACCAGAAGTCCAGCAAAACCTTCTCCACATGTTCCAAGCATTGTGCCAATCTCCCTCTGCAGCATATATCAAGACCAAGCTTACAGAGGTATACATTTTATTGGAGAATGGTGTAATTCTTTTACTGGATATTATTTCAATTTTCAACACAAACTGATTTATGACATTAACAGTTCTCCGCCATCCAAGTGCTAATCCAGTTGTGCGAGCGTGATACTGAGAATGTACGGATGAATGCCGTGAAGCTTTTCTGCTGCTTGGTGAATGATGGTGATGAAGCCACTATACTAGAGCATGTGCATCAGAAATGCATAGAGACTTTACTGAGGATCATCGAATCTTCTAAAAATGAAGAAGAGATTGCTTCTGCTATGGGCATAATATCTAACCTTCCTGAAAATGACCAGATCACTCGGTGGCTTGTGAATGCTGGTGCAATTCCAATAATTTTTCATTTTCTTCGCAGTGGCAGGCAAAATGATTCCAATAGAAGTCAGTTAACGGAAAATGTTGTTGGAGCCATCTGCCGTTTTACCACTCCAACAAATCTGGAATGGCAAAAGAGAGTAGCTGAAGCCGGTGTTATCCCCGTGTTAGTTCAATTGTTGGATTCTGGAACCACCTGGACCAAAAACTATGCAGCCAATGGTCTGTCTTGTTTTTCACGGAGTTCGCTTCAGCTAAGCCGGCCAATACCAAAGCGGAAGGGGTTCTGGTGCTTGTCAGCTCCACCGGAGACTGGTTGCCAGGTACATGGAGGAATTTGTTCTGTTGAATCATCGTTTTGCCTTGTTGAGGCTGATGCTGTGAGACCACTTGCAAGGGTTCTTGAAGAAACAGATGCTGGAGTGTGTGAAGCATCTTTAGATGCACTGTTGACTTTAATCGAAGGTGAACAACTGCAAAGCGGTAGTAAGGTACTAGCCCAGGAAAATGCGATTCCTCCTATGATAAAATGTCTTAGTTCACCTTCCCTCAGACTGCAAGAAAAAGCTCTACATGCTCTAGAAAGGATTTTCCGGCTGCCTGAGATCAAGCAGAAGTATGGTCCATCTGCTCAGATGCCTCTAGTAGATTTAACACAGCGAGGCAATACTAGTATGAAGTCTCTTTCAGCCAGAATACTTGCTCACTTGAATGTTCTTCATGACCAGTCTTCTTATTTCTAAACATTACAATTCAATGGCTTTTTACTTTCTCAAATCAGACCGAGGAAGAAGGACCGATCATATTATTCATGTTGATGATTTATTTTGCAAGCATGTAACACCAGTGCGCATGCTCAAGGCGTGTTAACGCATTCACTTTGAAAGCTAAACAAGAACTATCAACCCACTCCATCGTCAGTGAGCGGATGTATCAGTGTAGCTGTTGCTTGTCATTGATCGAGTAGCACTGTTGCAGCACCATGATTGATGATACACATCAAATTTAAGCTTTTGCTGTTAAGAAATGGCTGCACGGAAGAGATTTTATGGGGTTGCCGACATTTAAAAGCACAACATTAGTGATATAGCTTGGAATTGAATTCTTTCCTTGTAAGCTCTGTGGTTCTTTTTTTCCATTCTTTCACTCAAGTAAATACTTTATCTATAGCTTCTGTGATTCCCCTGTATTAAATTGTAACACTTTGGGGGTTATGTTTTTTTTTTTCTAGATTAAATATGAAGTGGTTGGAAAATAATCATTTTATTAGACCATTATTTTATTAAACAAATAGAGGATAATAGAGTAGGTACAAGTGGATAAATTGTTGGTTGTGATGGGATTAAATTAAAAATGACATTTGCCTCCAGTTTTCACTTTCGGCCAGTATCCACCAAAGCCTAATCTTCAAGCTTAAAATCCCTAAACAAACGTTTGAGCTGACATAAAAGAAAGAAATTGGTTAATAAATCAACGAGCTGTTTCAACAAGGAAGTGATGTCGTAGATCAATCAACATTAAAGGGATTAGCGCAAAAGACAGGCTTTAGAGTGGAGGAGATTCCGCGCAAGTACATTAGGTATTCGTTGAACGAGAAACCATGGAGTGCAGAATTGATTGCTAGCTTAATCTAGCTGAGGAAATCTTCAATGCTCGACGATTCTCAAGTTGCTGAAATTTTAAAAGAAATATCAAGACGAATTGTTCGCGAAAAAGGCCCGGTTGTAATGGACATTTCAGGTTTACAGAGAAAGGATTTAAGAGGAAACTTGTTGTGCAAAGCCTATTTGGGAAGGTTTTATATCTGTCCGAGATCTACAATCGTCCATCGTGAGTCTCGGTCAAGAGAGGCAAGATCCGTGATGAGGAGGGTGAGGCGAGTTTGATGGTGTACCTTGGGTCCCGAACGGCGATCGATGGACGTGGTGGTCATCGGCATCTTGTTGTTGGCCTGCAAAGCTCCTTGTTCCATATACAGAGCACTCGGTGGTGAGTGCTGGAAGAAATAATGAAAAAAGTGGGAATAGTGATGCGTGGAAGACAAGAGCATTTTAATTGAAAATCAAAACTACGTAGTTTTGTGGTGTTTAGAAAGGAAGATGGACAAATCACAATTTCAGTCATCCATTTTTTGTAAAGTTCTGATCTTGTCCTCTAGTTATGATATAGTCTTGATCAAGCCATGATAATTTAAGTTAATTCAATTTAGTTCCTAATTTTAGTAATTAGATATTATATTGGCTCCAAGAGTTTTAAGATTTACAAATTAGGTCCTGAAATTATTATTATTTAGATTCTAATAAATTATTTTCATGGCGAGGAAATTATTTGGAATCGAGTTCGTATATTTGATGGTCCAGGTACGTGAGAAAAAAATTGAAAACTCGAAATCAAATATAATGAGTTCAAATTCGAGAAAAATGAGGTTATGACAGAGTATTTGATTATACCTGAAAAAGCATATTTTGGATTCTCTTCGACGTCCTGGGTTCTAATCCGAAGTTCGTTTTGCCAAATTCGCACTCCGTAAGCTGTTTTTCCATATTTTACCTTCGGATTCAAGTTAGCTTCACAATTAAGTTCAGTTTTTGACGTAAATTTGGTTGCTTTGTATCTGAGGGATTATTGGAAGTTTAATTAATGATCGAGGGCGTTCGAATGGAAATTTTATTGTCGATCAGTATAGCACAAAAATCGAGGTAATATTTTACTACCTCTTTATGCTTTATGGAACATGTTGATATTGGTAAATGCATGAATAAGATAATGTTGGTCACTTTTGTGGAGTTGATTAATTTATACACTCGATATGAATGTGGTAGAAATTCTGTAACTGAATACGGATCGAATGACTAATATAAGATATTGAGGAATTGTCAGAATTAAATTATAAGTTTGTGATTGGTGATAAAGAAATCAGCTCTGGATTTGTAACTTATATTTTATATCATCAAATGTTAAATGTTAAAGGCACTTGGATGGAAAATTATGAGAATACTCCGGTATGGTAAAATTATGAAAATACCCTTATGTTCTAGGATGACAAGAATTGTCCCTGGAAGGTTAATAACTCTGAAAAGACATATTGATCCGATATAACTACTGATGTGCATAAGAAATGTTAGTTTTACTTGGAAATTTTGGATATCCGGTTTTTAACCCCAAGAGGGTTTATGCAATATACTAAAAGTCTGTTAAGTAATCATTTCAAGATCAGAGAATGTTCGGGAAAACAATTAATTATAGGATTTTCAAATTATATTATTTTCGTTAAGAGATAATACCGAAATTATCTGGTTACGAAATTACGAAAATACCATTGAGAGGTAAAAATAGTCCAAGTTGACTTTGAACGAGCAGGTAACCTGAGAATTTGTTATTAAACCGATAAATTACTGATTTAATGGTTGAGATCCTACTTTTGTATGGAAAATTCCTAATAATTCGTTCGTAATGTCTTAAAAGACTTTTAACCTGGAAATCTCCGATATATGAGTAAATACCTGAAGAATAAATTATCGAGGGTGCTCTTTTGTCTGAATTGTTTGAAAAGTCTGGAATAAATGATAAGTTGGAATTAAATAATAAGACAGAATGAAAGGAAATGATTGAAATACACTGAATCTGTAAGATGACCAAAATACCCCTGTAATGGAAATGTTTAAAGAATATCACAAAGCCAGGAATGAATGGATATCCTCAAGCTTTGAAATGAATGTAAGAACATTAAGCATAAAAATATCCAAAATACCCTTATAACCAAGGATAAGTAAATGAATTGGACTTATTAAGGAATCCAAATAAACATGGATGTTGCATTGTTTTTTTTTTTAAGTTATGGAACATAGTTTAAGTCGATCGACCAACGTTAATGCTATGTCAGTACATGAATAGCATAAATACCACTTGAATGTTTGTTCGTCTTCTAAAATTGGGATTTATGATAATTATGGAAGTACTCAGCTCAGCTCAACGTTAGAGCGCATTCGATATTAAGAAGTGCATATTCGTGAGATAAATCAACCACGAACACAAAATAATGATTTTAGTAAATGACCAAAGAGAACTAAGTGGAAGTACAACATGTATCCGGAACGCAGAAGCATCTGAATTACTCAGAAATACTCTGAAGTAACTGGATATTGTTTTGATTACTAAATGAACCGAGTAACTTTAATGACTGAGAATTTAGTAAGTGATTGAATGAGTCTGAGAACTCCAATGATATTGCATGATGTATGATTACTATGGGTTATGAACCAAGAATTAAATACATTGACAATTCGTGATATTATTGCCATGTGGATAGAAATAAAGATTATTTGGATTCTCTGTTGCTTCCTTTAGATTTATTCAGTGATGATTTTGAAGATGATTTATAAACAAGAATTGTTGGTATTAAAGTGTGAATACCCTGGAAGGGCAATGAATTGACTAGTTGAAATACATCAGTTTTAGGAGTTGTTGATTGTCCGATCGATTGACATGGATGGTAAGTGCCTGAATATTCGTTTCTACTTTATCAGCTCAAATTACTCTGGTCATACTTGAACACTTTCCTGAGATATATGAATCATAGAGGGATTCGAAAATATCACCCTTAAATGTCTGATTAGATTAGTTATTAATCGATTCTCTTCAATATGACCTAGTTCCTAGAATCAGATCAAATTTCATAAGTTTCGTGTTATCCATACTGATAATTACAATGGCCTCTGAAAACACTTGGATTCTCTAGTGTGCTCCCTAAGTACTATTTAATTATTTTATCTGTTTTAAAATATAGTACACTGAAATCTATGGTTTACTGCTTATTGATACACCGACTTACTGGTGATGATTTATAGACTATTACTGATATATGATTATTGGTTTTCACTGATATATGATAACGATGATTACAGATTTGTGGAATTTATGCGTACTGCATAAATTGCATTTTTGAAATACTGATTTTGGATGGATTGAATTACAGAGTATAACTCTGATCGAGCTGATAAACCTTACGGACCTAATGTGACTCTTGGGTAGGCTCACGGGCCCCAAGATGCTCCATTAGGTTGGCTCCCTTTTGCTGTGTGCTTAGGGTAAGCCCTATGGACTTACAGACTTAAGGATACTGGCCCCAAAGCCTATATTTAGGTTGGCTTCCTTTTCGTTGTATGCTTAAGGTAAGCCCTATGGACGCAGTTATGGGAACTGCGGCTGGTGTACAAGAGAATGGTTTAAACTACGAGTTTCAAAAGTTAAACTTCATTATGATTTTATGAGATTTACTGAACTATCATTTGATTAGTGTACATATTATGATTTTATCGTACTGATGAAACACACTAGACTTCCTATTCGACCTCATGAAAACTTTACTGTATGAAAGGTTTCTTATGAACTGAGATTCATGACTTCTACTCGATGAACTACTAACGGAAACTCAGATTATTCCGCAATTGGTATTAGGGATGGCAAACGGGTATGGTTTCGTGGATTCCGCATCGCATCTGCTCTAATTGGAGCGGAGATGGGTATAATTTTAGCGGGTAGTGGGCGGGTGTGGATTTATAAAGTGGTACCCGTCGTGGGTGGTGGGCGGGTAATGGGTTTGAGACATTACCCGCCCCGCATCCGCCCGCCCCACATCCGCCCGCCCAGCTAAATATCTATTAAATTTTGGACCATTATGAATTTAGGTGTAATTTTAGAGACTAATTTATAAATTTTAATATTATATAATATATTAACATATAATTTAACTAAATATTAAGGATATTTAGTCTTTAATCTGATATTTAATAAGGTAAACATTCAGCTCTTTGATTAAACCCATAATCCCACTAACCACGTC